TGCAAAGACATTTAAGGCATCAGAGAAAGCTCTTAGGAAACTATATAGTCAGCAAAAGGTTAAGTCCGAGCTACAGACGAAGCGAATAACCTGGAGGTTCAACTTAGAGAGGGCACCCTGGTGGGGTGGAGTTTTTGAGAGGATGGTACGAAGCGTGAAAAGGTGTCTTAGGAAGACTTTAGAGAATGCTAGGTTAACGTTCGACGAACTTAATACAGTTTTAGTTGAAGTTGAAGGTACATTAAATGCAAGACCGTTGACTGATGAATACGAAGAATTTGATGGTGAAGTCTTAACTCCTTCACACTTAATATATGGTAGAGCAATTAATATTATGCCACAGAACGAAGTTACTAAAGACGAGAATAGTTGTGAGGAGAGATTTAAGTACGTGTCGTTAAAGTTAGAGCACTTCTGGAAGAGGTGGCAAAAGGAGTATCTAACAGGGTTGAGAGAGTTCCATAAATGCAAAAACGGAGGTAGATTGAGAGAAGTAAAGAAGGGAGACGTAGTGACAGTGTACGGAGAAGGAGGAAAGAGATGTGGTTGGAAGTTAGCAGTTGTAGAAGAGTTAATTGTAGATAAGGACAAGGAGGTCCGAGGGGCCAAAGTAAAGGTTGCAGGCAAGGGTAGACCAGTCTATTTGAATAGGCCTATACAGAAGTTATTCCCATTGGAGGTTCAAGCTCGACCGGGTGGGAATGGGCAGGGAAAGGATTCCCCCATAGCTAAAGCAGACGGATCCTTGCATGTCTTGCATGATCGTCCGAGACGGGCTGCTGCAGCAATTTCCAAAGCGAAGACAAAGGCGATGCTTGATTCATAGACCTTTATGAATCAAGGTGGGTGGGGTGTCGTAGGTTCCCAGCGCAGCGCCGCCAATTCATTCTACTTTAAATATACTTCATGTAATATATCAGTATTGTGCTTGACGTAATTCATGTTAAATCGTAAATAAGTCTTTGTATGTGTAAATTGATACGTCACAGTGACACATTGTAATTTAGTAGGGTAATCAAATAGCTAGGGAGTGATTGAATGTCATTGTTGCCGTCAGATCGTAGCGAGACAATCGGAATGTTTAACAGTCTAAAACTCACGTTGTAAATAGTATACTTTCACATATTACAATCAATACAATTATAAAATACAGTCCCTTGAGCGTTTACTGAATGAACCAGACGGTGGAATCACAAGTTCCGCAACAGAAATCAATGTAACAAACTGTGGTTGTATTATTGCCTATTTAGCTTTGGTATGTGTACAAAATGATAGCGAGGAATCTATTCGTCACAATGTACAAAAAACCATCGAGGCATGTCGAATTTTTACTATTCCCAAACATAAACGAAGTAAACGTCCAATTTTAATAACACTCTCACTCACACTGATAGCTTTATATATCAGTCTATAATTACTGGCTGTTTCATTTTGTTCAAACCTCTGAAGAGTAAGGATGCCTTGCTGTAAAGATTTACCACAAATCTCTCTTCGAAACATTTTTCGAAAAGTACGCTGTATATTTGCTTGCTGTGGTGGAAAAATTGTAATTCAAACCTCAGACATCGATGGTGGAAAAATATCTAAGCCAGATCTATTACGATCCAGAATGCCCCGCAAGTTTTGGTGGCGTAGATTCCATTTATCGCGCCGTGAAAAACGAAGGGAAGTATGATATATCGCGGAATAAAATACGCCAGTGGTTACAAAAGCAAGATGCCTATACATTGCATAAACCTGTGAGATATCGCTTCAGGCGTAACCGTGTTATATTTGGAGCCATGGATGATGAGTTCAAGCACTAGTATGGCATTAATCTACATGCTACATAAATGGTTTGAAGCAGCTGACAAACAAGGTAACACTATATGGATTTGTTTACTTGATTTTTCCAAGGCGTTTGATAGATTAGATCATAACATTCTGTTGGAAAAATTGAAAGACATGGAAATTCATCCCGTGTTACTCAACTGGATCGCAAACTTCCTAACAGGCAGACAACAAAGAACCCGTGTTGGCCAGTTCTTTTCTGAGTGGAAGTTTTTAAACGCCGGCGTCCCACAAGGAACGAAGCTTGGCCCGCTATTATTTTTGATCATGATAAATGACGTGGCTGTAGTGGATGAAACTGTTAAATTTGTCGATGATACTAGCCTTTGGGAAATAATATCAAACAATTCCCCTTCCCAGTTACCCGCTAACATCATCAGCTGCTCTGAATGGTCATCAAACAATAATATGAAGTTAAACGTATCAAAGACCAAAGAATTGTGTGTCTGCTTTTCTAAGCTTACCCCATCGTTTGCCCCTATTACCATTCGCGGTCAAGAGGTCGACGTCGTTTCCGAGGCCAAACTATTGGGCGTTGTCCTTTCGGACGACCTCAAATGGAACTGCCATATTGACTACATTTGCAAGAAAGCCGCGAAGCGTTTGTACGGTCTGCGCCTTCTTAAAAGAAATGCTTTACCTCCTCATATTCTGATCTCAACCTATTGTACACATATTCGACCAATTGTCGAATATGCTTGTCAGGTGTGGCATTATGGCCTTCCTCATTACCCGAGTGATCAAGTTGAAAAAATACAAAAAAGGGCATTAAAAATTATTTTCCCTGGAACTATCTATGCTGAATGTTTGCTGAAAGCTAACTTGATGACTCTTTACGAACGTAGAACTCTTCTTTGCAAGCGACTTTTTTCGAAGATGTTGGAACCCACTCATAAACTGAATGCCTTAGTACCGCCTAAAAGTCTTCAAACTTATAATCTGAGGTCTTATCCCAACTTATTAGTACCTAGGTGTAGAACTGAACGTTTTTCGAACAGTGTCATTCCTGCTGCGTCTCGTGCTTATAATAATAAGTAAACTTTAGATTATTATCGTTATTTTTATCTAACTTAACTATTTTTACCTGTAAATATAGAATAGATTGAATACCTATGTTCTTATACCCTGTAATTCCGAAGTAATTCAGTTGTTACTGCTAGTTTGGAAATTTATAATAATAATAATAATAATAATAATGAGTGGGAGGCAGATTTAGTCATTATGGATTCATTAAGTCAACAGAATAATTGGTACAAGTACGTTTTAACTGTTATTGATGTACTCAGCAAATATGCGTGGGTTGAAGCGATAAAATCAAAAACTGGGAAAAATCTTGTCAAAGCTTTTGAGAAAATAATCAAGACCGATCTCGTAAACCGAAAATGTTTCACACTGATAAGGGGACGGAGTTTATCAATAGACAGTTTCAAACCTTTTTGAAGAAACATCGCATTCGATTTTTTACGACGTACAACGACACCAAGGCCTAAATTGTCGAAAGGTTTAATCGTACGCTCAATACGAAAATGTGGAAATACTTTACAGCGAACAATACGCTCAAGTACGTGGACATTCTCCAGAAACTGGCTCTCATATTTATTATACGAATTCGTTTTCCGCTTGGAAAATCTCTGGCAACGATATCAAATCTTATAATCGTTCTCGACATCGTAGTATTGGTATGAGACCGGTAGATGTGAATAAAAGTAACGAGAATATTGTGTGGCAAACGCTCTACGGGAAGGAGTCGAAAAAATCAATCCAGTTTAAGTTTAACATTGGGGACCAAGTCCGGATTAGCAAAGCAAAGCGAACATTTAAGAAAGGATACTTGCCCAATTGGACTGAAGAAGTGTTCACGGTAACGAAACGCGTGCCTCGACGACCGCCTGTTTACAAGATTGGAGATTATGACGGTGAAGAACTAGAAGGAACATTTTACGAGCAGGAACTTCAGAAAGTCAACAAATCAGACAG